CCCCACCCCCCGCCCGGCATATGGCGCCCCTTGCACCGAGTCTCCCCTGCATTGAGTGTTTAGCCTGGAGCCGCTCTGCCCTGCCACAGAGCAGTTCAGGATAGAAACCTACCACGATCTCCACTCAGGTGGAAAGCGTGGCGGGTAGGGCGTCCCCTTCCCCCAGAGCTGGTGGGGCGGGAGGGGGCTGATCCCGAGCGCCCTGCCTGCCGCTTATGTTGCAACGCTGGACCTTGACGTGATCCGCGGGGTCAACCGCGCCGAGGGGGGGAAAATATCCCGTGGCCTCCTGCCCGTTTGCAGCCGCAGGAATAGCTCGTCTGACGTCAACTCCAAAAGTGCACCGCGGGGGGGGAATGGCCCATAAATAACCCTGCTATTAAAAGTCTAGGGTTCGGATTAACACACTGATAAATAAACCAGCGTCCCCTTTGCTGGGCCGGGTCAGAAATTTAAACACCGCCCCAGAACGTAGAGCCTGAGCAAGCCTGAGAGCACGCGGGGTATGGGGCCCTGAAAGGTGATCCTTGGCTCTGTTTCCATGGGCACCTTTGCCATGGGCCGGATCTACTGTCGGGGCAGTTGCCTGGGGCAGTAAACATGGGATGGGGGATGGGAATGATCAGTGGGTATTGACGGTGATGGGTTGTCTGTCTGGATGTGGGCAACCTCGGTTTTCGCCCAGGGCTTTGCTAGAAGGGTGCTGGGGCTGCAGTGGAGCCAGGCCCCCTTGGCGCTGGGTGCTGTACAAACCCAATCTAAGTGACGCTTTGAGGTTGGCTTTGCAGTGCTTGGTGCCTTGTGTGAGCATCCCCCAGGACGGGTGCATCGGGGGCAGCGGCCCAGCAAGCTTCCCCTGCCGGTGTATCTGCCCTCGGTCCTGGAGGGGACCCCAATGTATGGGAAGGGGGAGTGAAGTCTCCCTGTCCCACACAGGCATTGGCCAACGAGGGGCAAGTAGCATAGGGCACGGGGTGTCTTTGGTTTTCATGATGCCTGTCCTCTAAGAGCCTCGGTTAATTTCACACACGTCATCGGCCAGCGCGCGGTAACGACTTTCGGTCCCTTCCAACTTCGGCTTGGAGTCGGAGCGGCGACCTAGAGGAGAGGCACCGAGTCCTCGCGTCTTCCCCTGAACCTCGGCCCAGTCCCCAGCGGGCTTCCCGGGAAGGTGCTGCAGGAAGTGCCGCGAGGATTCCCGCGTTTGCCCTGCCGGCATCTGCGCTCACCGCTTGATTCACGGTGCGTTTGGCCCGGTCTGGCATCGCAACCCCTACGGCCAGTCCGTCCCGCCGACAAGCCCCAAGGAGGCCGGATTCAGTGCTGGTGTAAACGCGTGCTGCTCCAGAAGAATCAACGGAGCGGCACAAATTTGCTCCAGCAGAGAATTGCCCCCCCGCCCCCGGTTCCCAGGAGGCTGCGGGCCACTAGCTCCCCCCTGGAGAAGTGGTGTTGCTAAAGCCCAGCCCCCAACGCTTCCCCCCCCCCATCCCGCCCCCGGGGGTGCTTTGCGGGGGCTCCTCAACCTGGGACTGGGGGAGGGGAGGAGCATTTTTTGACCCCGGTGAATAGTTTTGGCCCCGTGGCTCAGGCGTGCTGAGGAACAAGGGCCAGAACTTTCTCTCCCATCCTGCACCTCTCCGGGTTCTGTCCACGGGGTGGCAAGGTGCAGCCCGATAGGCGGCAGCTTCTCGGGTCAGCCTGGCCGGTTGCCGCCGGGGCCCGTGGCCTAGTGGGAGCCACCGCGGGAGCCGCGTGCTTGCTTTCCCGGCTTGCTCTTACCGGGGCCCCGAACTCCCACGCAGAGATTTTTCCCCTTCCCGGCGAAACCCGGGGTTTTATTTCTGGCAGCGCTGATGCGGATTAACGTCCGGGGCAATTAGGGCCTCTTGGAGGGAGCTTTCGCAAGCCTCACTCGGTGGCTTGAGTTACTGAGCCGGGCTGGCCTTCCATGCAAAACAACACAAAAAAGGGAAGAGACCGCATTGAGGTGGAGTCTGGGGGGAGCTGCATTGTGGCTTCCCGTGCAGGCTTGGCCCCGGCAGCAGAGGAAGAAGAAACAACTCGCTGTCAGATCCCCGCCTGCCAGGACAGCGGGTTAAGAAGGGCCCGGGGGGCGGGGGGCCACTGATTGAGCTCTGCCAGCTGGGGCCGTCTGCCTTTACCAGGCCCTGAGCTATTCCTGCTGCAGCCGTACGTGGGCTCCAAGAGGTGGGAGACCTGGCTCAGGCTTCTGGGAGAGGCTGTGGGTGAAGTCTCCTAAGCTGTTGGGTGGGTGTAGGCAGGACACGGGGGCCGCTGGCTAAGCCATGGAGCAGATTGCTGAGTGCTCCCTGTGGCTAAACGGGGGAGGAGCGGCCGGCCGGCGCTCTGAGCCCCACGCGGGGTGGGGGATGCTCTGGCCAGATCAGCCCCTGCCGAGGGCCAAGCTAGCTCCTGAACTCACGCTCAGCAGCTCCGTCCCTCACGGCTCGGGGCAGCCTCCGTCTGCCAGGTGCATCCTTGTACCAGGTGCATCTCTAGGCTCTGTGCGGCTGGGTCCGCTGGCTGGCAAAGGGCCTGGCCACGGGTTGAACGAAGCCGGGAGGGGCTTGGCCTGCTGAGCGAGGCGCGAACGCAAAGCCGCCTTTCCCTACGGGGACCTTCCTTCCTGTGGCAAACCCCCTGTGTTATCCCCTGCGTCCTGGTGGGGGGGTGGCAGGGGACGCCGGGCTCCTAAATTTTCAGTAGCAGCCATTGGCCGTGGGTGCCTGCCTGGAGACCCAGCTAGGGCGGGAGGTTCCCTGCCCGTTGTCCAGGGTCGCTTTCGTTCCATCAGATCGCTTAGAACAAACAACCTCCACCCACCAACCCCCCCTCCTGCAACTCCGGGGCCTGGGTCCTCGCCCCTGCCCTAGCTATCCCTGGTGCTCTTTGGGTGGCTGACCTGCGCAAGCAGAAAAGTAAACTAAGTGCAGCCATGGGAGGGGGGTGAACCCCAAGCTTGGGGAGGCTAGTCCCCCCTAGCCACGCCCCTTCCATGCCCACCCGAGCCCTGCCCCCCACTGTGGCTGCTGGCCCCTGCCCAGTGACCCAGACTCCCGTGGCCCCGGAGAGCTGGGGCAGCGCGGGCCCAGTCCCCCCGGCCCCAGAGCGCTGGGCCGCGTTGCCCAGCCCAGTCCAACCCCAGGCCAGCCGGCCCCCTCCCCCGGCCCCTGAAGGCGTCCCCCGGCTGAGCTGCCAGCCCCGGCGCTGGACGGGCGGGCAGACGGCATGGTCAGAGTGCCCCCAACCCCAGCGCTGGGCAGGCGGACGGGCAGGAGGCGCGGCCGGAGCGCTGGGAGGACGGGTGGCGTGGCACAGCCCCGGGGGCACACCGCAGCCCCTAGCTTGCCTGCCCCAGCCTCTGGCACAAAGGGAAGCCTAGACAGGCTGGGGTCTGGGGGTGGAGCCTGGGCAGGGGGACATCAGGCTGTTTGGGAAGGCAGAGCCTTCCCATGCCTACGATACCCACCGCCCATGAGTGCAGCCGTGTGAGGGTTAGTTAGCCAGTCCTGTTTGCTATTGCTAATCCATGCTGTCTGGCTGTTGGGTCTGTCTCGCTGCCCCTCACCAGGGTATCTGAGCACCTTCCACATCAAATCAAGAGCCAAGCCCCTGGTGCGTTTCGTGGGGTCTCTGGCCCTTCTCCCTTTTGGGGCTCAAAACTTGGGGGAGGGTTTTGTTTTGAGTTTTTTTTTTAAAGATTGGATTAATTTCCTCCAGTCTGGAGGGGGGGGGGGGTTAGGGTTGAAAGTTGGGGTTTGAGGGCAGGAGGGCTGGTCAGGGTTGTCTGGGGGGAGGAGGGGGGATAGGGCAGGAAGGTGGGGGTCCCAGTTGAGTGTTGGGGTCTGGGGGTAGTAAATGCAAAGGCTATTTTGAAGCCATCCCCGGTAGACCTTCTGCTGATCTAGTCAATTTCAGACTGGGGCAAAGAATACTGTAGAAATTAACTTTTTTCTCCCCGCCCCCTCTCGTGTTTCTCCCCCCACCCCCCAAAATCCAATCTGTCTCTCTCCTGGCTCTGTTTGGCAGGGCTCTCAGCCCTCCTTCCCCTCTCCCACCCCCAGGGAGGCAATTCCACTGACCCCTTTGGTAAAAGCTTTATCTGCTAGGCATGCCCCTAGGAACAATCCCAGGTCCCTGAGCATTGGGCTATTTATAGCCGGCTCCTCCCCTTCAGTTCTATTTTAGGTCACCCTGGGCAGCTGCTGTCTCACTGGGTGGGAAGGATGGGAGAGGAAAAAAAAAAAAATGAGATAAAGGGAATTGTCGGTGGCGCAATTAGCAAAGGGCTTCACGGGCAAGCCCAGCCCCTTCTGCTTCGCAGGACATCTTAGCTCAGTCGTGTTTTGGTGACGCTGGGAGCCAGCTCTGTCTCCGCTCCTGTGCCGGTGCCTGATCAGTGCTGTTCCTCCCCGGGTGGGGAGCTGCCTCCCGGCGTGAATCAGACCGTGCCTGAGATGTGAAACCCTCCTTCTTCTCTAGACTAGCGCCTGGACCCCCTTCCGGAACAGCGGGCCCTTCCCACGCCTGGCCTCTGCTGTCTGCAGTTGGCATAAACAGTGACTATTATAATTTTGTTTGCAAGATTTGAATATTATTTGTTTGGCCCAGCAGACGAATCTTTTTGGGGTTGCTGTCGGACGCTGCTCGCTGACTCGGATGCTTTAACTTTTCCTCGGAGACCTCCGCCTTTTGCTCTTTGCGGGTGGAGGGCGGGGGACGTCTGATGGTTTTCGGCTGAGATTCGGCACAACGGACCCCCCCCCCCCGCGCCCCTTGCAAAGGAAAGCTCCCTTGCCCTGTGCCGGATTGTAAGGCGAAGGTGCGACAGGGAAGGAAGCCAGCGTGGATTGCCTTGCTGGGCCCTGCGGTAGCTGGTGTCTGAGTAGTTCCTGGCATGCTTCTCGTGCCCAGGACGCTGGGGCCGCCCGCGATGTTGCAGACGATTTACGAGAGCGAATCGTGTTTTTCTTCAGATGGGGTATCCGGACGCGAGCAATCGCTGGAGCGCCTTTCGCGGACTCGGATCCATGGCCTTCCCGTGGCAGGTGAGTGCCGCGCGATCGTTAAATTCGGCCTCGTCAACGCTGTTGATTGCCCTGAGTGTCTAGAACGGAGCAGGAGGTGCCTCTGGCATTGGTGGGGGCCGGACCCTGCCACGGGGCCGCTCCATCCGTGCAGGGCGCTGTGCATCTCGTAGGATTGGGCCCACGGTGTTGCAAATACGGAGCTGGGTTTATAAAGTTGCCCGGGGGGGGACAGGTTTTCGAGGGCTCAGCGCTGGTGCTCTGGGGCAGGTTTTCCAAAGGGCGCTCTGCCCCGCTCGCCCTTTCGGAAATCTGGCCCTCATTCTGGGTGCTGAGCTCTCTTGGGAATTCTAGTCCTAGGGCACGATCCTACCGTGTACGCTGAGCCCCGCGATGCAAGAGTTGCTCAGGGTTGGGTTTACCCTTCGCGGAGCCAGGCAGATGGTCAGGGTTTCGTAATGCCATGTGGCTTTTCTTTGGATCCTTTGAGTCTTCACTCCGGGGTTAAGGTGCTCGGAAGCTGAATGAAAGCCTGGGAATATGGGACGGACTTGCCTGCCAGCAGCTGCTTCTGCCAAGCACCCTTTTCCTTTCCCTGTCAGAAGGACTCAGCGCATGGGTTGATTTTGATGGTGGCCCCGTGATATTCCAGCTCCTGCCACGTCCCTGAGCCAGCCAGCTGCGGTGTGGGCCTGAGCCAGATCCTCAGCGGCTGTAAATGGATGTAGCTCCATTGGGTTCCACCCTGACTTACAATTGAGCAGCTGTCTCTGTTGCCTCAACAGGGATTCAGCCTCTGCTGCCCCTGGGAGCCGGATCCAAAACCTGGGGGAGTGTATGGCAAGACTCCCCCCTCCCCCCCACCAGTGGCTGCGGTGGGCTTTGGATTGGGTCCTCAGGACACAGCTGGCCCTGAATAGAGACCGTGGTGGGTGGCGGCCCGCACCAGTGCCCACTGCCGAGGTTTTGGCTCCGAGCTGGCACAGATGGCAGCTGCAGAATGGGTCACTAAATGACCTTTGGCCTGGAGAGGTGGCAGCCCGGTTTCCCCTGCGGTGCGGGGAAGCACGGTCCGTCGCGGCGTGTCCGTGGAGGGGTTGGGTCTCTTGAGGTTGTGTGGGTTGGTGGGAGTGACACGCGACCTTGCGCTGAGGGACGACGCGCCCAGGGCTCGAGGCGTTCGGCAGGGCACGGCTCCCGTCCCTTCACGCGCACGCCTCGTTGTCCGGCGTTGATTCATTTAGCTGCCGGCCACCTCAGGGCGAGGGGCTCCGGCTTTCTAACTTCCCAGCGCCGTCAGCCTCGGCGGCGTTTAAGGAATGAGAATCGCTCGGAGCGTCAGTTTCCAGCATGGACCCCTGCGAGCAGGGAGGGTTGATCTGTCAGTGACAAGGGCAGGGGGTGGATGCAGGGACATTCTGCCCTGATTTACCACCCCTACCTCTGGCTTCCTGAGATCTTCAGCCCTCCTCTGAAGGCAGAAGGGAGATACTCCCTCCCCTCTTCCAGTTTGGCCTGCACCCCCATTCAATGCCCGGCTGCAACTGGCTTCTGCAGATAGAGCCCCGTGCAGCGCCGGCAGCCCCTCGGATCTCAAGTGGACAGCGTCAGCTTCCATTTTAGCCCCGGCTCGCTGCCTTTAGGTACCTGAGATGTTAATAGCACGGCCTCCCTTCCTTCCTTCCTTCCTTCCCTGGATTGGGAGATGCCTCTGAACCACTGGGCTGCCCCTGCCCCTCCTGTAGCTGACCACCTCTCAAAATTGCACAGCCTGTGCCCCCTGCCCTCCCTTCTCATCACAAAGAAGGGCTCCGTGTTCACAAACCGCATCCATGCACTTGCGTCAACCGGGATGTGGAGTTTGGAGCTGGTTCTCACAGGGTGAAGGAAATGGGGGGCAGCAGAGGGGCGTGGGGGTGCGGGAGAGAAACCCAGAAGCCTGTCGCCTTTTGATTGCATAGAACCGTGCACAACGGGGTCGGTGCCTGCCAGGCTGGGAGACGCGCTGGCCCGTCAGTGCCTGGCCTGGCAAATGGGTGAGTGAGGGTGTGTAACAAGGGTAAGCAAGGGAGAGGATGTAGAGCTGGATGATGTGCAAGTAATTGTCAGCATTACCTAATCCTGGTGGAGTTTGCAGCTGGCCGGATCCCCTGGCTTTGGGAGGATTTGCTTGTGTGTTTGCGTGCGTCAGGATTTGGGTGCCTGGTTACTACAAGTTGTAAAGCAGCCTGGCTGGGGCTTGGTCTGACTCCGCTTGGATGCTGTGGCTCCGTGGGAAGTGATGGGTTTGATGCAGGACTCGCAGGGTGAGCTTTTTTCACACAACGCACAGTCAACCTGTGGAACTCCTTGCCAGAGGATGTTGTGAAGGCCAAGACCATAACAGGGTTCAAAAAAGAACTAGATAAATTCATGGAGGATAGGTCTGTCAATGGCTGTTAGCCAGGATGGGCAGGGATGGTGTCCCTAGCCTCTGTTTGCCAGAAGCTGGGAATGGGTGACGGGTGACACTTCTTGATTCCCTGGTCTGTTCATTCCCTCTGGGGCTCCTGGCATTGGCCACTGTCAGAAGACAGGAGACTGGGCTAGATGGACCTTTGCTCTGACCCAATGTGGTCGTTCTTATGTTCCCATGGCCTCGTGTTCAGTTATCGCCGGACTCGCCTGGAGACGCTCTCAGGACGAGCTGCGGGGTGGGGAAAGGGTGGGGAGTAGGGGGGCGTGGGCATGATCCTGGCCCTTTCAACGCGGGATGGTTCTGGTGTGCAGGTGAATGCAAAGATACGCCTGGAAATCCATCCTGGGCAAGGTTATGACTTTGTCACTGAATTTTTTAGTAAATTTCGTTGCAGAGGTGGGGTGGGGGGACCAATAAGCCACAGAAAGGTCACCAAATAATGTTGTTTTTTGCTCCATCAGTATACACAAGACAATAGTGGGGGGCGCTGAAAAGTGAGGCCGGGGGGCGGAAGGGGGGAGAGCGAAACTGATCTGCACTCACCTCACAGCGGCAGCTCCTGCCCACGAGTCTGGGCCCAGTTCCTTGCTCTGGGCACTGAGACCCAGGACATGTGGTCGTAGCGTCACTCAGGTTTGGCCTGTCTGCCCCTCTCTGTCTATGGAGGGGTGGACGGGCCAAACCGGAACGGCCCAGCGACCCCGTCCGTCAGGTCACGATGCCGCTTGGCCTGGGGGCTCTGATCACCTGTGGTTTCACAGCCAGCCCAGGGGTAACGCAATGGCACGGGTTTTCAGCCCAGAACGCAGGTGGTCCCAGCTGGAGTCTGCCTCGGGCTTTATTGAATAGACTATTAGTAGCCACCAGTCAGGCGCTTTCCCGCGACGACAGAATCGGGGCAAACAGCTTAACGGCCCCCCCGATTCACAGCGGCGTTTGCCCTTTAACTCGTGCTGCCCTATAGACAGCAGCTGGTCAATGCGGTCTGACCCTGTGCATCCCCAGGGCTCAGAGAGGCAGCCCTGCTCCCCATTTCACAGAAGGAGGGAAAGTGATTTGCCCAGAGAGACCCAGCAAGGCAGTGGCAGGGCTGGGGATTACATCTAGGTCTGTGCTCCCCGTCCCGTGCCCCGCCCCACCACTGCCTCCAGAAGTGGGCCTCTGTCCAGCTCTGTAACTGTTCAGCCTGCGGTTCCCCAGAGCGCAGCAACCTGCGGGCCCTGGGTTGAGCTCTGCTCGGTGCGTGTCGCCCGGGGGAGGTGCTGAACGAGGCGCGATCGGGCTCTAAGCACTGCTGAGCCGTGAAGTTACAAAGCGCATCCCGGATGGGCGCCCTCCCGTCATGGAAATGGACGCGGCGCGTCTGATCATGCCTGGGTGGGGGGTCGGCACGGAAACCCCATCCGTCTTGCTGCTTGTGTCCAAGGGAAGCTCGTGCGTCGGCCCCTCGGTGCGAATGTTTAAAAGGAGCGCAAGTCGCCGTTCGCCAGCCGTGAGTCACCCTGTCTGCAAAACCAGAGGGCCGGGAATGCAGGGCCGCTCCGGCCAGCTCACCGGCTTGGCATCTCCGAGGGCACTCGCACAGCATCGCCGGGCCGTGCTAATAAAGGATTTTTTTTTTAGAGGGGGAGGAATGTGGAATGTAAACACACGTTTCAAATAGAAACCTTGTAACCTTCTGGGATAAACAGGCGGTCACGGGGCAGGGGGAAAGGCCGGAGACTCCACATGGGACGTTTCAAGTGATATTCCACCCCTCTCCCCTTTCATTGTGGGGGTGAGAGGAAAGATGGCAAAGGAGTTAACCCTGGGGTTCGTGTACACTGCATGCTAAGCCCAGACTCGGGTCTGAGTCCAAGCCCCCCTTCCGCCCACACGCACTTCAGTCTGACTTGGATTGGCGTGCACTCAGGACCCGGGAACTAGGACCCTGCGAAGGGGGCTTGTCAGAGCCTGAGTCCTGCTGGCACTCGGGTCCAAAGCCCCGTCCTTTTGCAGGGGGCACACAGCTCAAGTCGCAGTCCCGAGTCAGAAGGTCCGTGTGGTGCAGTGCGGACGTGGCTGAGAGACCCAGCAACTGCCAACCCAGGTTTACAATGCAGTGTGGATGCTCTGGCACGGGGTTGGAAATGCCAAGGCCACAAACCTGGGTCCTACAGACCCGGGCCCAGTGTGGTATAGACGTACCCTCTGTGTCTTAAATCGGGGCACCCAAGAACTGAGGCCCGCAAAACTAGAGGCACGTTTGAGATGGCGTTTCTACAGCATTTTGCTCCAAACTGCTTCAGAAATGATCAACGCTAAAATGCAGCCAGCTCTGGGGTGGAGGGCAGCAGGCCCCTTGGCACGCTACACACAAGAGTCAGAAGGGGATTGGATCTGATGGCTCCCACCGGGTCTTGGTCCACACTGTGTGTTGGCTTCTCCTGGCCGAGTCTGGGGCTAGTTTGGGAGGAGCAGACAGCAGGCGGGGCAGAGACGGGGGTTTGGGATAGCACAGCATCTTGTCGGTCAGGGTTAGTGTCTCGGTAGAGGGATGGGAGTGGTGCACAATAAGAGGTAC